AAAAAATCCTTGCCAAGCCTAATTTTCTCTTTTGAAAATAGGATACTGGACAAAATTTTTCTAATTTAAAATCGTTGGAAATTAACTCTGCAGCTATCTGATATTAATTTTTAAAAAAATTCATAAATAATACTTAATATTAATATAAACCAATGTTTAATAAAAAAATTAATTATTATTTACATTAAATTCTATGAAAAAATTAATTATTTATCTAAATATCTTTAGTTTAAAAGAAAAAAATGATTTATATTTTAATTTATATACCTATAAAATAAAATAACATGTACAAATAAAATTTAAAAACAAAAAAATAAAGTATTATTAAAAAATTTATATGAGAGGTGTAATTTATTTATAAATTTTAAATTTGTGTTTTTTTCCATTTATAGCATGGGTATATAAGCATAAATAATATAAAACTAGTAGAAAACCCGTCAAAAATGACCGGGAATGAGATTTTTATTCACTTTTTTACGATAGATGTCATGCCAGGTCCAAGCTCACAATATTAGGAAGCATATAATTATAATAAAGTTTATCAAGCCCAGCTCAACCCTTAATAATTTGTAAAAGATATTCCCATGTCAGGTGCAAGCTAATATTAATTTTGAGGTTCCAAGCCCAGTCGTATCCAATATAATTTTGAAAATTTTTCCCACCTCGGAGATAGTTAAATTTTTAATTGATTTATCATCACATGAAGGGGAAATATCTGATTTACCAATTAGTTTAAGATGTAAAAAAAATATGTGAATTCCGTATTAAGGGAAACTGTGAAGGCCTGGGCAAACCACTTATTAGAGAATCATGACAAATAAAATAAAAATAACCGACAGTAATATGATCAATTATAATTATATATAAAAAATATATTGTTGTTTATTATTTAGGGTTATTGTAGCTTTTCGGATAAATTTAATGTATGTCTTGCATTTCCCAAATTATTTGTCTTAATTATGTTAAGTAAAAAAAAAATGCTATCTATTTAAATTACAAAAATGCCATTAAACACTAATGAAACTTATATGCAAATTATATAAATATATTTTAAGAAAATATTTTTTATTTTTTTAAAAAATTATGAGGAATAATTATTATGTTGTGTATTTGATAAAATTAAGAGCAAATCCTTGTTGACATTTTTATTTTTGATGGAAAAAGCGACAAAATAAATCTGGAAGGTCGTCTGGAGAGGAAATAATTAATGTACAATTTCATATCATTTAGTGTTGTAGATGAAAGTAATGACGGATTGTGTATAAATCCTGATAAAGATGAGGCATATGCCTTGGGATACTGGTAAAAGAAGAACGCAAAATGATATTTCTGTCAATGTCAGCATTGGTAGCCTCATCTAAAATAGAATCATGAACGACAATGTTAACTCAACCATAAAAAGGTTCCATTAACAAAGTTGATGAATGCCGTACTGCACATTCAAGTTTGAACATTCCTCTAAATAATCATGAAGTTTCTCAGAGAATCGGATAAAGTAATATTTATAATAACTCCTAGTTAAGTGAATGATAGTACGGAATAGAATGCTTATATTTGTTAAAAAATAGGGAGAGGTGGCATAGGGATTGTGGTAGTGGTGATATTTGGAGCAACTGGTGAAAATAAAATAAAGAAAATAAACCTCCAGAGGAGTTAATTTCAAGCGTAGTTCTTTATTATTTTGGCTACCAGTAACTCTAGAACGGGCAAGGCGTTTGTTTATTCCTCATTATTTTCTTTGCTTATCTTTAATAGATTCATCATGTTTTGTAGCAATGTGAGGGATTAAGGTCTAAAGTAAAAAAAAAAATTTTTAAGTTAATTTTATAAGGTAGGAATTAAATAAAATACCATTCGGAGAGACCAATTGGCAAGCTTAAAAAAAATATGAACCTTGTGAATAAGTATAGAATAATTTAAATAATATAATAATACCGTAATCAATGATATATATTGACCGTAATATGTATTTTTTTTGGAATAAATATAAAATCATAAAAACAGAAAACCCCGTTTAGTATTTTTTATTGAAAGAATAAAAAGGAGAATTGTTAAAAAAGGTAGGAACCTTAAGAATAAATATATAATTTTAATTCAATAAAAATAAATATTAATATATAATGATTTTAGAATAGATATAAAATCATATATAAAAATAAAAATAATGTACTATGTATATTTTTTTTAGCATTATACAAAATAATCAGCAGGAATAATAGAGCAATGGTGGATCCGACAAAATGGTAAGCTTTAAAAAAAGTAGGATCCTTAAAAATTGTTATATTAATTTAGTTAAATTTTAAAAATGTACTTTTTAATTTCAGTTAGACAAAATATTCATCAGAGATAAAAGCGCTTAATGTGCGGCCCGACAAAATGGATAGCCTTAAAAATACGAAAAAATTTCCAAGCATCCAAGATTTTAATAATTTAAAAAAATTTTCTCAAGCCCATTTCAATCTCTAATAATTTTGAAAACCAAGCAAATATTAATTTTCAGATATATTTTTTAAGCCCAGTCCAACCCATAATAATTTTGAAAAAATTTTCCAAAGCCTAGAGATATTAAATTTATAATTAATGAAGGGGGAATCTCTGATTTACCAATTAGTCTACAGGAAAAATATATTTCTTTATAAATTAACACAAGACAAACATTTAACATTAAAAATCCCAATATAGGTTCAAGCCCACAATATTTAGGAAAAATTTCCAAGTATCCAAGATCTTAATAATTTAAAAAATATTTCTCAAGTCCAGCTCAATTCCTAATAATTTTGAAAACCAAGCCAATATAAATATGAGATATATTTTTTAAGCCCAGTCTAACCCATAATAATTTTGAAAAAATTTTCCCAAGCCCAGAGATATTAAATTTATAATTAATGAAGGGGAAATCTCTTATTTACCAATTAGTCTACATGTAAAAGATATTTCTTTATAAAAATATTAACATAAGACTAATATTTAACATTAAAAAATCCCAATATAGGTTCAAGCCTACAATATTTGGAAAAATTAAAAAAGATTTTCTCAAGCTACCTCAATCCCTAATAATTTTGAAAACCAAGCCAATATTAATATGAGATATATTTTTTAAGCCCAGTTTATACCATAATAATTTTGAAACCAAGCCCAGAAATATTAAATTTATAATTAATGAAGGGGAAATCTCTGATTTATTAATTAGTCTACGGGTAAAATATATTTCTTTATAAAAATATTAACATAAGACTAACATTTAACATTAAAAAATCCCAATATAGGTTCAAGCCTACAATATTTGGAAAAAATTTCCAAGCATCCAAGATCTTAATAATTTAAAAAGATTTTCTCAAGCACATTTCAATCCCTAATAATTTTTGACCAAGGCAATATTAATTTTGAGAAATATTTTTTAAGCCCAGTCCAACCCATAATAATTTTGAAAAAATTTTCCCAAGCCTAGAGATATTAAATTTATAATTAATGTATGAGAAATCTCTGATTTACCAATTAATCTATGAGTTAACTCCTAGTTATATATGCAAAAAAAAACATGTGAATTGGTAATAAAGGAAACTGAGAAAGCCTGGACAAAGCACTTATTATAGAATCATGACAAAATAAGGTCTGTCCTAATATTATTATAAGAAAGAAAAATATTACCTCATATTATTGGAGATAACTCCAAAAATGCTTTTTTTTTACATCTTAAACTAATTGGTAAATCAGATATTTCCCCTTCAGGTGATGATAAATCAATTAAAAATTTAACTATCTCCGAGGTGGGAAAAAATTTTCAAAATTATATTGGATACGACTGGGCTTGGAACCTCAAAAATAATATTAGCTTACACCTGACATGGGAATATCTTTTACAAATTATTAAGGGTTGAGCTGGGCTTGATAAACATTTTTATAATTATATGCTTCCTAATCCTAATAATGTGAGCTTGGAAATCTATGAGTTAACTCCTAGTTGAATTTCTATATAAAATATTAAAAATTTGTAATATTTAGTAAATAATGTATTACTTTGACAATTGGTTTTAATATGGCCTCCTACAGTTGCATAGAAAACTTAAGTTATAGAATCATCTGTTTGTATAAAATAAATAAATAAAATCAACAAATAAAAATACGTACCGATGACATGACGTAGCGCTGACATGACGTCACGAAACGTAGTGAGGACATCGGTAAATTATAATATAGATAATAATTTATAAAATTACATTAAACAAATTCAATATAATAATAAATAAAAAATATAAAAAATGATCCTTTTTTTTATGTTATTTTTTTTATAGCTGATACCGATTATTTAATATCCATGGTTTTTTTAAAATGAATATTTTTAAAGTAGGTGTTATACTCTAAATGATTAAGCAACTTGTGAATGAGTTTTGCCTAAATAACAATTATTATCGTCAGGAATACAATATACAATTTTTGACTCAAAAACATACTGAATTTAGGTCTAAGCCGGCTTGACTCAGACGTTTAAAAATAAATTTCGGGTCAAAAGTCGGCTTGAACCAAGTCATGAGCCGACTCGAGCCAGCCGATTAATTTGGCTCAATGAGGAGGCTTGAACCTTAGTTAATTTTCCACTCAAAAACTGTAAGCCGTCTTAGTTCAGCCGTTTAACAATACTAACTCAAATAAATAAATTTCGTCTCAATAATCGGCTTGAGTGAGCTAACGGCAGAGCCAGCCGACTCAATTAGCTGGCTTGAACCTGAGCCAAATTTTACTGGCTGAGTTTTCAGCTAAGCCGGCTTGGCTCAGCCGTTTAACAACACTATACCTGCCTCCTTCCTATCATGAGATAGCATCTTATTATCTTTATATAACGCTTTTTTTTTATTTTCGAAAAATTTAAGTTTGTTTTTATTACGTGAATAATTATTCCAATGATATATATAACTATAGATTGGCGATTCATTCATTCAATGCATTATAAAAGTGTCCACATATTGTAATCAGCTGTAGCGCCATTTTGTAGTTTGATTATCCATTATTTGTCAGCAAGAAATATTAATATATAGAAAACAAGTCTACTACGATAATTTAGTTTTAAAGGTTTCGATTTATGATATAATATTTTATAGTATCTTTTATTCTTAAATTTTCATAAGACTTTTTTTATGAAGGTGGTCTAGGTGATTATATTTAAAAAATAAATCTAAGACTAACCCACCTTTTAATTTTTTAAAAATATAGTTTAACTTAATCCTGCATGGACTTATAAATCTTATGTTAATGCATCTTAGGATACATGCAAAACAGATCTTTTAATATCACTTTTATTATTTTGTTTAGATAATGGGAGTGTGCTGTGTTCATAATTGTAATAAAACAAATAAAATAGAATCTAATACACATATTTCTTATCATAAGTATATATATTATTTTTTATATGCAACATATTTATTACATAAAGCATTAATAAGCTACAAACATTGAAAAAAAATCCTTATTTAGTAAAAATATAAAGTTTTCTCATTTTTATTGCTAGGACAAATAATGCTTCTTCCTCTTGAGTTGATAAGATTTCTATTTTGAACTTTGCCTAAATATTTTTCTGGATAAAATATTAAGTTAGCCATTTTTAAAATACATATTTACTATGATACAGTTTCATTTTAAATATTTGTAAGAAATATGTAAACCATATATATATTAATAGAGGCTCTGCCAATCAACAAATTTTCACTGATTCAATACTATATTACTAATAACTGATCTGATATTTATATTGATTTTTATATACTATCTATCTTTGTATCAATGTCATAAATATATCTTATATTTTACTCATTATTATTCACCTATTTTTAAATATAAATTTCCATTAAAATCCAAATAATTATTGGAAAAATGGTTACAGGCTATAAATAGGAAAAATTTTATGCCTAATAAATATAGTATTATTTGTGGAAGGCATTTTAAAAATACTTGTTTCATTCATACTTTATCCGGAAAGATTTTATTGAAGGAAGATTCAATTCCATCAATATTTAGTACATCTAAGCCACTTCATGATGTATGTTAACAATATCATTACATAGTTAAAACAATATTTTAGAATGTATACTTTTTAGAAAACGAATGTTTATTCAAATAACATACAATCACCATTAAAAAGTGATATATTATATGAAAATGATCCAATTATACATATAATAAATGATCATAATTATTCCGCGACATATGAAATATTAAAAAGAAAAATTATTTACCAAGAGGTTATTATTAAACGCTTAAAAAAAGGGCACATGCTTATTATAGGAGCTCAAAAAGAGGAAAAAATAAAATAATCAATTTACAAACAATAATCACTTCACTAAAAGATGAAAATTTGTTATCAGATGATGTTGAAAATATTATAGACAGGCAATTTACAGGGACATCTTCTATATTCCTTAAAACACATATACACAGTGGAGGCATCTCAAACCCACAAAAAAAATATACAAGTGAATTTCGTCAATTTGCATTGATTATGCATTTTTATTCACCTAAGGCTTACAGATATCTCAAATCACACTTTTGTATGCCTCCGGAATCCACATTAAGGGCATGGAGTCGCAAGATTGAAATCATGCCAGGTTTATTATAATAATTTAAAAAAAATAAATTAAATTAAATAAAGGTTTTCTTTCTATTTCATTTACTTAAATTAAAAGCTACCAAAAAAAATCAGAAAAGCAGTTGTATTGTGTACTTAGCCTTGATGAAATGCATATTAAAACTCAAATAGATTATGACCCCCACAAAGCAGAATATCATGGTTATGTTGATTTAGGTGATGGGACAAAATCAACAAAAGAAGATAAATCTTGTCCAGAAGCAACAAAGGCACTGTTTCTTATGGCTACCTGTCTTAATAGCAGCTGGTAAATGCCAATAGCCTATTTTCTAGTTTCACAAATGAATTCAGATATCCTAGCTATTTAGTGAGAGTTGCATTGTTCAATCTAAATAAAACAGGAATTATCTGTAAGGCCATAGTATGTGATGGTTGTGCTGTTAATAAAAAAAATGAGCAAACTGCTTGGTGTTAGTATGGATCAGTGGCGTAGCTACGGGGGTGGTTTTCAGGTTTGGACCCCTCCCAGAGCAAAATTTTTTTTTAGATTTTACGTTCTAAAGACTTAAAAGTGACTAATACCATTAATATTTATATTTTTCAGGTTTTGATGTTTGTGGAAGGATATTATATTACTATTGAAATTATTCTGGATAGTATTATAAAGTCATTGAGAATAATCGACTAAATTATAATAACATATTATTGATGCATTTAAAAAATATATTTATTATATATTATCGAAGATATGGTTATGATTTTGCATTTTATATGTATGGACCCCCTCTAAGAAAAATTCCTAGCTATGCCACTGGTATGGATCCTGATAATATCATTCCATATATTGAGCTGGAATTTTATGAATCGGAAAAAATATATATGTTACTAGATGTTTGTCATATGCTCAAATTACTTAGAAATCTATTAGCGGAGTAGGAAATTTTAATAAATGAATCAAATGGAGAGATAGCTAGCTATATTAAATTTGATTAAATATTTATTTTGTATTTATAGATAATAGATTGGAAGCATATACAAAATTTACATAAATTGCAGGAGTGCGAAGGTTTACGTGCTGCAAATAAATTGCGCAAAGCACATATTGCTTTCCACAAACAAAAAATGAAAGTTTGATAATAAATATATAATTATTAAATATTTTTTAAAGGTATTCGATCTGCTGTTCGCATTTCATTAATGGCGAAATTGGATACTACAATTACAGGAAATTGCATTTCCTTAGATAATACTCAATTAATATGTTCAAATTTTCAAAATAATCATGACGATGATTTTAATTCTATCAAAACTATTTCAAATCCAATAATACCCCAGGCATTATCTTATTATTTAAGCCAAACAAATCCTCATATCCCGAAATTATCATTATATTTAGATAATTTAACAACTTATATTTTGGGATATATAGTACAACAACTTATTAAAGAAAAAAAGGTACGATGTGATGTTTGCATTAATGCAATGGTCAGTGATTCATATATTGATAATAATATAAATAATATGCTCATAAATTTTAAAAATAATGGGGGGTTAGTGATTCCTTCTTCTAGTATGTCATGCAGAATTTGTGAAAGTTCATTTAGAACTTATCAAAATGATATTAAACGTAAAAATATTATTAAAAAAATGGAAGTGTTGGTTTTTTCCACAATTATTGGTACAAATATTTTTATTGATCTTACTGAACATATTAATGATGAGATTGGTTACAGCCATTTTCAAATTCTTGTAAAATTAATTGTTCAAAGGTAATCATTTATTAGTTTTAATACTATTTTTTTTAAAGATATTTAAATATTAGATTTTTTCATTTTGCTGACTTGAGAAACCAGGAATTGAGAACTGGTATGAGGCAAAATCTTACAAAAGCAATACAATTTAATAATCATTAAGTCATGTAAATTAATATTTATATCTTCTTTTATTTTTTAAAAATTATATTGTATAAAGAACAGGCCTGATATAAGACATATTATAAAAATTATGATATAATGTAAATATATTTTATTTTTTATAGGTGATGATAGAATCAAAAAGGATGAATGTTTATAATCAAAGATAATATGAATGTGAATCATCACATTATTAAAAATACATTTTGTTTTTTAAAGTGTACACATTTATATTTTTATATATTTTGTATAAATCTTATTTAAATGATTTATATAATAATTTATATTCATGCAAAAAATGTTATTATTACACTATGTTTTTATTGAAAAAAAAAATAAAAGATGTTTTCATTTGTCATTTATAATTAAGATGAAATAATTAAAACAAAAAAAATTATAAATGATTATTACAATAAAAATTAAGTGAGATGAGCTCTCAACCCATCTTTTAAGATGGTTTAACTTATTTCATCTAGAACACATAATCCAAAAAATTTTTTAATTGACAGGATATTTTTTTATAAAATCTTATTTTCTTAACGTAATTAATTGATCTTCATCTACTTTTAGAGTATATCTTTGGTTCATCCTTTATAATAAAATTAATAAATACAAAATAAAAATAAGTTAAAAAAGTAAGAAAAAAATTAACATTGATTTCTCTTATTAGTAAAACAAAATTTGTAGATTTTATTTAATTATATCTATACAGATCTTTTATATAAATTTTGATTATTATTTTAAGGTATAAATTACTTACCTAAAATTAAAAGTACCAGCAACTACAATAAATATCGGTGCATCATTTTTATTTATTAATAGGATATGAATCATAAAATATTATTATATTTAATAATAAGGATTCCATAAATGAACAATAAGTGGATAGTAAGATTTTTTTTGAAACATCAAGTGAATTTGATAAGCTATAAAAACTAATTTTATTAGAAAAATTAACAAATATATATAAAAAAATAAATGATTTTGATATTTGCAATTAATATGTATAAAATAAATTAGACTTTCTAATAAATGATTGGGGGTTAAATGGTTGAGGAATGTTTAAAAATAAATTAATTTATAATAATATTAACCAAGTAGATAAATTAACTTAAAACTATGATTGAAAGAAGTATTTTCTTGATTGAGTCAAAGGAATCTGTGTGATAAGTTTTTTTGGCAATTATATATAGGCAGTGGACCTTATTTGGTTGAATATTTGAGGGTGTATTAGATATAAGTATGGAATATTTTGTATGGGTATAATTTTGGTGATTTTTGCTTCAGTGATATTGTAGCAATCTATGTTTCTGAATAATTTCTGGGTGAAAGTAATTTAATGATATTATGTACTATTATTGTATTAAATGTTGAGTTTTTTTATTTTAGAGAATACCAATGTAATTTAATTGAAGATCAGTTGAGGTTAGGATTCATTTAATTATTTTACATAATTACATTATTAACAAATTATTAGATATAAAATTGTTAAATTTTTAAAATTTATTATTATTATTGAGGCATTTGATCAACGTACAAGCTACAAAATGGCGCTACAGCTGATTATGTCATTGGGTGGACGTTTTTTTATGCATGATCGTCAATCTATAATTATATATATCATTGAATTATTCTCTATAATAAAAAAAAATCAATATTATATTATTTTCGTTATTATTAGTTTTATCCTTGAAGATATTGTTGATAATAAAAAATTATATTATACATTATTATTTTTATTTGGACAATATTATTATAAATAATTTTCATTATTTCAATTTTTGACATTTTTTTCATATTTAAAAAATAAAGATAAAAGATTTTTAAATGAAAGAATTTATGAAACAAAGTTAAATTAATTTTAAAAAAAAAGAACACCAAAAAAACTATTAAAAGTTTCACGGAGAATATATTAAAGAAAAAGGGTTGTAAAGTTTTCTTTAGAATAAAAAAAAGTTAGATATATTTAAATGTGTAAGTAAGTTTGGTAACTTTAAATGCTACCCACTTTAAATGCCTACCTTAAAAAAATAGAAGCAAAATGCTCCACCCCGTTAATGTATATTGCCGTTTAAAAATAATCACTATATGAATTACTTCTCGGAAACCATCTAATATGAGGTTATGAATTGACATAAAATTGGAGCTTACTACGATATTTTATAGTCTAACTGCAGGTACTATAGAGGTCCTGAATGAATATTCATGTGTATTAAATTTATCATCGTCGAAGCGTCATAGAAGCTGATTAACTGCTTCCCTAACTTTTCTTGAATAACTCTTAAATAAAAATTATAAAATATTTTTACTATGTTAACAATATTAATAATATTTTTACTATGTTAAAAAATATACATATGAAGAGCAAATTTAAAATTGTCTATTTTTTAAAATAAATAGAATGCGCATACGATAAACTATTGGCGTGAATGCAATGTGTAATTTTATGTTTAAGAAATGTGTATTAGAAAAATATTTCTATATTTTATCTTTTATTTTTTTATAAATAATTTCAAAAACAATAATTAATTTAATGTCTATATAATGCAAATGTGTTGAAAATATGTTAATTAAAAATATATTTTACATCAATAAATTTTAACGTGAAAAAATTATTTATACCAATTCTACAAAACTTGAAAAAGAAATCAGAACTTGAATTTGTTATTTTTCTTTCAAAATATATGAGTGGTTCAGATGTGAATTAAATAGAGAAAATGTTTGGAATGTTAAACGGTTTTCGGATATGGGTCTGCAAATAAAAAAATTCAATGATTCCCTAATAGTAAACTTCCCGCTTCATCACTGCAATTTATATATATTTGTAATTTTATTTAATGATTAAAACTTTGACAGTTTATGACAGACATTTTTGGAAGTTTTAGTACAATCCTCAATTTTCTCCAAATATCATTTTGTACATATCACTTCAAATTATAAATGCTTTAGCTCTCTATGATGGATGAGTTAATTAAAGTTTTATCAAAGTTTGTCTCCTCAGGTTTTTATATTATAATATAATAATTATTAAAATAAATAATTTAAGATCAAAATGAGCTTAGAGTGGCCGAATTATTTTTACAACAAGCTGCCTCTAATAATTTGGTATTGAATATCTTTGATGTTACTTATTTTCATTATTCTAGGGTGGTTTCCTTACAGAGCTATCAAATGTCATTAGTAAGCCTGATCTACCAGTTCATATTCGTATGGCAGCTGGCTTGGAACTTAAAAATCACTTAACCTCTAAAGATATATCTCTAAAGACACAATATCACCAAAGATGGCTAAATATGCCATGCACTATAAGAAATTTTATTAAACAAAATGTAAATAATATTAGACAAATAATGATTTACTATATTTTATAGGTTCTTCTAGCAATATCTTTAGAGGGTGCTAGACCTAGCGCAGCTGCTCAGTGTGCAGCATATTTGGCAGTTGCTGAATTGCCACAAAACTTATGGCCAGAACTTATACCCCAATTAGTTCTCAATATAACTAATAATGAAATGAATACAAGTTCTACCGAAGGTTCATTAGAAGCATTAGGATATATTTGCCAAGAGATTGTATTATTTTTTATTTATTTGATTTATAGGCTGTATCTAGGATCCCAGGTTATTACATTCTCAATCAAATGAAATTTTGACAGCTATTATTCATGGAATGAAAAATAATGACAAGTTCATATTTCAAATATAATATTTAATATTATCTTTTGAAGTACTTATGTAAAATTGGCTGCAACAACTGCTTTATTGAATTCTTTAGAATTTACAAATGCAAATTTTAATCATGAAGTAAATTACAATTAAGTTGAATATCACATAAATAATATTAAATTATTCCATTTATTTTTATTTCACTATTCACTATAGGGGTAATTGTTTTATTTTTAGTTGGCTAAAAAATGGCTAAACCTAGTTTTTTCTCCTCATGCATTCCCTTTAACATCTTAGCCTTGTTTTTTTTTGAATATGTAGCTTATATTTAAAAAAAACAGAAATTAATATTATGTCTCATTTCTTAACAAATTTTCCTCCATATACTCCTGTTGATTTAACTAGTTTTTAGCCATTGCTCAACTATACCAAGCATGTAAAATAGAATATGTTTTTCTTAAAAATTCTAAATCTATATTATTTGTTAAATTTAAATTGATACCTTTTAATTTTGCTAGAATGAAAGGAACTATATAATGCAAGTAGTATGTGAAGCAACTCAATCTCAAGATATAAATGTATTATTTTTAGATATTTTACATATGAATTTTAAAATTCTTATATTATATTTAAATAAATTTATTGAATATCTTATTTATCACAATTTTAGATACAAGTTCGAGCTTTGCAATGCTTAGTTAAAATAATGTCATTATATTATGAATACATGGAAACATATATGAGAGCAGCTTTATTTGCAGTACAATCATATTTATTCATAACATATATATTTAATAATTTAAAAAATTATAGATTGTTTGATTTTTTTGATAATTCTGCTAGATGTTTTGTGTAAAAGCAATTTTATTTTATTTCTTTTGCATAATATTTACAGGGTTGTGAACCTTCCTTCTTAAAAAAGGGTTCAGAGTTTGTAGTCCACAAAAATTTAGTGAAAATACACAAATATCAGTTTTTTATAAACTTTATTTTACTTTATCTTCTAAAATCGAGATATTTAAATTTAAATATATGTATGCCTAGCTTTGACAGTGTGTACTTGCATTTAATAAAGCTATTTTACCTTGTGATTATGTTATTTTCTTTGGCACTTTTAATAATATAATAATTAGGGCTGTGCCGATCCACATAATTTTCACCGATCCGATATTTTTATTGATTTTTCACCCCCCCCCTCCCCCCTTTGAACCAAATGTAATTAAGAAATCAATATTTTTTCTGCAAAAAATCTAATTATGCATTTAATTTAATTTTTTTATTTCTACAAAAATTAAAAAAAGTTTACAGATAGTATTAAATGAATTCTTCATTATTCCTCCTCGTGAAATTAGAATTCTGCGGATAACGCATTTTGCAAAATTATCTTTGTCTTTTGTAAAATATATCCATAATTTAAACATATTTAAAGAAATTCTTTTATTTAAAGCAGAGACCTGCAAGCCCATCCCTGGAATTTTTAAAATATAACCGCGACCGGTCTGAAAATTTTTTTTTTAAAATACCCAGGCTGGGCCATAAAATTTTATTACAAAATTTATACAACATGAAATATTATATTTGTCAATTAGATATGATTATATATAGTTATGATTAATATAATGTTGGGTGAAAGTTAACACTAGCTAACACTCATAGTATCTACTACATAATATAATTATAGTTTTCCTGACATGGAATAAATATGCAAAGGATAATAGGTAATAAATACATTATTATATAATATATGTTATATTTTTTATTAATTAAAATATCAGTTTTTTTTTAAAATACAATTAATATAATATATTCTCAATTTACACAAATTTTTTATAGTATCAATTTGTAATATACTAAACATCTGTTTAGAATAAAAAAAAATATGATAGTGTTGTTAAACGTCTCGTTTTGAGCCGTATTTTAAAAACGGTTAATACAGTATTTTATCCAGAAAAATATTACGCAAGCCTGAAAATTTTGTTCATAGAAAGAGCAAAGGTCTAGACATATAGTATCGAAATTTCGAGGTTTAGTCAATATTTTTCATGCGAAAATATTGAGTTAGCCGTTTTTAAAAATCGGCTCAAAACGAGCCGTTTAACAACATAAACTAATATGCTTGCTTATTAAATGATAATACTTGCCGAAAAATTGGATAAAATACCGAATAGGTGAATTTTTTATATATACCAGGTCAAATCGGGCCCCAAATTTTTTTTTAATATCCGGGCCAGGCCTAAAATTTTTAAACCCGGGCCGGGACATAAAAAATTTTTGAAAAAAATCCAGGCTGGGCCATGCAAATGGTACCTCTGCAAATCCTGATTTAAATTATAAATAATAAAAATGGCGTTATTATTCAAAAAGATCTAAAATAAATAAAACTTTGGGTGTTCCTTTCTATTTTTATATAAAAATTTTTTTAAAATACTATTAAGCTATTTTAAAAAATAAATAAAATTTAAAGGATGTGTACATTTGCATTGTTTGAAAAAAAAATTATTTAGAAAATATTAATGTAAAATAAATATACATAAAATAACAAAAAAAGAAAAGTAAAAAGATCGAATCGGTTTTTTACAGGTATTGGCCAGATCCGATATTTTTGGGAAACGATAAATATCGGTGGCGATCCGATCCAATATTTATTATCATCACAACCCTAATAATAATACAATAAAAAAAGAAATATTATATTATACAGTATCTATTTCATAAAAAAATATGCTGATATAATTTTAACATAAAATTTACTCTAAAATATAATAAAAGGATTCCACGCAAAATAATTTTTACCAAAAAATATTTTTATATTGAAAATAAAAAAAAATTATGTTAAATGTTTTAAATAATTTATGTTTTTTTTATATTTAATTTGTTTTATATACATTGTGAATTCCATATCAAATCAAACTAAATTTCAACCCTACTCCCTCAGAAAATTTTTAAATTTTGTACACATCTAGAGCTTTTAAAAATCAGGAGCGGGAGCTAGCTCCTTTTAGGGCTGGAGTGGAGGAACACCACTCTACCACTCTTTTAAATTTAATGTATATATTAAATTATTTTTTAAATATTAATAAATCTATTTATTTGTTAATTAAAATTCAATAAAAATGAAATTTTATTTAAATTTATGCAATATTAAATGTTGAGTCGAATTTTATATTGATTTTTCATCTAATCAGTTAAAATATTAAACATCAAGTTTTTCTTTCTTTTTTATATTGAAAATTTCTTGGAAAATCTTTATAGATATATGATAAAAAATAGATTTTGATGTTATGAGATATCTTATAAGAAGAAATTAAAATAAAAAAGTAATTATCTATTTAAATAACTTTATTGCAGATTTTCAAATGTTTATAATGATTATTATCCATCCTTCATTCAAATTTGGAACTAAAATTTAAATTAATATTTTAAGAAAACAAATTCTTGATTCAATTTGCTAATAGTACACAAGAACCCTGCAATGATTTGGAAGATTTTTTTGGATTCCATGAAATTTATCATAAGGAAGCTAATATATTGGACAAATATTTTTTAAATAATGATATCAAAATTACTATTTTTGATAAATTTCCTGAATTAAAAAATAAATATTTTTATAAAATATAATACCCCGCTTCCCTCTAGTGCTCCTGTTGAGCGCCTGTTTAGTATTGCTAAACAGGGGAGAGGCGTGAATGTTTATTAGATTCAAATCTATAAAAAAAATTTTTTTAAAAGCTGATAAAAGATTATGAATATTTTGATATATCATTTAATATAAATAAAACTATATTGATAAAAAATATGATTTTGTTTCTTGTACTTTCTAAAAAAATTAAATCAAAGGGACCGTCTATGGAGTGGTACTCCATTACTTGGAGCAGTAGTTAGCTTCTTTTAAAAATTTAGTAGCGAGAGCTAGCTACTTTTAAAAAGAGCATTAACAACTCTGTTAGTAGTACATACTAAACTAAGAAAAAAATAAAATATTACTTTCTTGCTCCACTTACTCGCTAAGATATGGGGTTTAAAGAACGGGAAAATGGTACATTTTTGAAAAAATGCCCTTCTTTAATTATATCTCAAGAATTAATTAAGTTAGAACATAATTTAAATTTTATTATAGTTTAATAATTGATCTTTACATATAAATTAATGTGATAGTACCTAATACCAGAAGTACGAAACCGGAAATGGACATAGAAAAAAATGTATTTTTTATCATACTACTTTATATTTGTTCAAAATCTTAAACTTGGCTAACATGGGTCTAGGAGTTTTGACTCTTGACCTATAATTGAACAAAATTTTACATAAATATCATCATATTTAAATTTAATGCATACTTTAATAGTTTTTATTTAAAAATTATATCTAAATGAAAAGCTCTTACTTTATTATTTATAAAATTATGCCGGAGGGGGAATGTGGTTTCTTTAACACTTTGGTGTTAAAGTTTTCTTTAAATTACGTAGCTAAATAATTCTAAACATATTTATAACTTTATTTTGCAAAATATTTCTATAATTACATCTAATAAAATCAAATTTATAATATATAAAAGATTTTAAATATATTATATATTAACACCCGAAGAAATTTGAAAAAATTTTCTTATTTTTTTCTAGAGGAATAAAAGTATAAAATTTTGTATTCCAGAAATTTGTTTTATTGTTATAAATCTATTTTAAAGATGATTTTTCATATTTAGATATTCATCATTGCTCACAAATATATAATTTATCCCTGATATTAATGCTTGTATAGTTATTTAAATCCATAGTTGTCATTATAAAATGATAGAACGTTGTGAGCTAGGTCGAGCTGCTAACTATTTATTTCAAAACTGCCACTAGAGCTTTTAACAGGTGCGGTTGCAAATAAATGCAACTTTACCTTTATCCCAAAATCATTTTCATGATTGTAGAGGTTAATGAAGTTTTTATTGGTAACTGCTCTATAAGAAGAATAATGAACTTTGTCTACTCTGCCCTTTCTTTAAAGAATAAGATCAATTATATTTACAATAAATAAAATGCAAATGCGTTGTGCTTTAACAATCTGATATAAAAACAAAATTTACTAGTTTAATTAAGCCGTATTTAAAGTAAGTGAATCATGGCCTGACTATTGGTCCAATAGAATCTTTATGCATGTTCCTGCACTACAAATGCATAATTTCCTGAAAGTTCATTACTAATTAAGAATGCGTCAACATATAAATTAATTTTTAATAAGTTTTAAAATAAGGATTGTTTTGAAGCTATAAGAATGAGGAATTCAAATTTTTTATTTTTTTGATAAATAATTACAAATTAGTTGGCGAATTTTGTCAGCGTTTCAAGAAATGTTATATAATCTATTGAATTGGCATCAAATAATAGTCGTTCTTTTATTTTTGATTTATGCTAAAATAGAAGATTTAAAATTATTTTGCCAAGTAGTTTCAAGAGAAAAGTTAACCAAAGTGTTAAATAAACCACATTCTCCCCCACCTCTCAAATAATAAATAGTAAAGTAGGGGCCTAAGTATCTATTAAATTTAAATATGATGATATTGATGTTAAACTTTGATCAATCTTAGCCATATAAAGGGTCATAACTCCTAGACCCACTTTCAGCCCAGTTTAGGATTTTGTACAAATATAAAGTTTTGAAAATAATGCCTTTTTTCCTATACCCATTTGCTGTTTTGTATTTCCGTTTCGGAATTAATCGTGTTTCTATCACATTTATTTAGATGTCATATTTAAGATCTATTATTAAGCT